GCAATGTTGGATAGTAATATCTTCCATTCAGCACTTTTATAATTAAAGTATATCTTAGTAACTAATAACACATGGGATACCTTTGCCTTTTAAGCACAATTCTATGCATGTAGAAAGACGGATGATATTCCCACATGCCGAAACTTTGCCAACTCTGAATAGCTCAATGTTATCTTTCACTCACACATAATGATTCATTTAAATGCCTTACTATCCTACATTCATTTTTTCCCATGATATAATGATACCATCCTTGACAAATGATGTTCACTTTAAAAAACAACCATGGACTTGATTTGGCCATAAGCAAAGAAGAAATGGAACAGAACACAGTGCTATATTGCATATATGTAAGACAACTTTAGAATGTGAGACCCCAGGCCTGCAGATTCTTGTACAGGCGCATGGTCCGATTGAGTTTGTGAATTTATCATGCTACATGAGCAGACCACCAAGGAGTTCTGACTACCAGGACTTTATCTGTGGAGGCATTTTCTCCATGGACTAAATATGCTAACTTTTTCTCTTTCATCTTCAATCTTTAAATGATTGTTTTTAGACAAGGAGGAAGCCTTTTGTGTCCATTTTGTTGAGAACATGTTTTGTTGAGAACTTTATACAAACATAAACATTTAAAGAAGAAAAAGAGACTTGTACTCTCAATTTGGAGCAATAATCAAGATTAGCTAAATCCATATGTACGTTTGAAGGAATAAATCACAAATAGGTTATTATGCATCATTTTAAGAAAGGCTGGTGATAAAGAGCATCATTATTATTAATTCATTCCCATATTTGATAGTGACATACTACAGTTCTAATTCCAGTGCTTGAGAAAGAAAAGTGTTGCTCCTGGGACTGAACCTTCTCTCACAGAAGTCACTGTCAATTTTGCCACTGATATCAATAGGAGCAGGGGTGGATTAAGATTAAACTGGGCCGAGATCCACAAAACTTGGCCCCTGCTTAAAAATCTGGAGCTTCTCTGGACAGTTTACAGCACCTGTATCAGAGTTCTGGAAATTTCAGCTACTGCCAGCTTCTCTCCCTTCTCTTGGGTCACGTGGTAACATGACATGAAGGATCGAGGGGCACCACAATCCATTTCTTCCTCCCAATGGCTCGGTCTTGTTCCTTTTTAAGTCAATGACAAAACTCCCATTGGCTTCAATGCTGCAGATTGGGATCTGGGTCCCTCACTAAGTGTATGTGTCCGGCTGCCTTTTGCTGAGTGACTCATTGCTATATCAGACCCTTCCCTAAACACAGGGGGGTGGGTCCTAAGAATGTAAGGGTCCTGCCTTAGACAACCCTTATTAACACATGGAATCTACTAATTCAAATGGGATTAGATGCATGAGTAAGGATTGTGTATGTGAGTAAAAGCTAAAGGCTCAGGCCCTTCTTATTCTTAATTACCAGGAAATAGATTAATTAAATTCAGAAAAGTTAAACATGTGTTTTCTTTATACTATCCTGCTTCTCTTCCAAGAGCTGAAATTCTGATATAGTTTTGTTTCTAGGCACTGCAATGTAAATGCTGTGTGGTAATAAAAAGTCTCTATCTCAATCAAATTCAGTAGTGTCTGGGTAGCCTGCCCCTTATCTCCCCTTCGGCGGCCCTAACACAATATTTCATTTCCCTCTCCATTTTCAGGGTTAACAAGAAGATGTATCACACCGTTTGCTTGAGCCCTGTGTTTATTTCTTAGTTCTGGGGAAAAGGCATAGACTAAGGTTTGGTTTTCCTGAGTGGCCTCAATGTGACTGCGGTGTATGTTTCTCTGCCACATAAATTAGATGTCATAAGACTACTTTATACATAACATTTGCTGTTCTATAATTCTTACTTTGCACATTTGTAATATTTGCAGTCCATGATGTGTTAAATAACACTATGTCAGGTAATACATTTCAAACCATTTGTTTAATAGCTAGATTAGCTTTCATAAGGAATAGTCATGCTTCTAAATAAGTTAATACCAGGTCAAGAAGATCTGTGGCACAAGAGTGCACTTAATGTATTTATTAGCATGAGAACTGAATGAAGGAATGTTAATTTATCATTCAAGAAGTTTGTTTTATTGAAAAATACAGTAACAGTCTGAGGGTAACTAGTTAATTTGACATTAAAGACCAAAGGAAAGCTAGTTGAGGATTACGTGCTATGTTTGCTTAGTATGAAGTAACTGTGATGGTTAGTAATTGGAAATCTGAATCATGAAACTGGAAGATTGAGATCAGATATGCTAAATGGTTTAAACATTGGTTAATTAAATTTGAGAATAAAGATTATTTGTATCTGACACAATCTACTGGAATTCCTGAAGTTCCAAGTACTTTTGTCTGCTCTTGTTGTTAACCCAGCATTTAAAGACAAGACTATGTAACTTACCCTATCTCTATTTTTGGTAAGACCCATATTTTTGGTAAGATACAGTACATCAAGAGGTTTCTTTTTATGTTATATCAAATTATAAGTCAAGATTTACAGCAAATGCTACAGCAGTTGTTATAGGGACATTGCGTATCGTTTCTAGTAATATCATTTGTATTTAAAATGAGTTTGCAGAGTTTTAGGACCACAGGATTTACCATAACAGAAAAGACTGTTGGTCTGTTTATTACCTGCCTGTATCAATGATCACAACCTGATACTTCAGAGGAAGGCAAACAACAAAGTACGTGGCCAATTGTGCAAAGTTGTACCTAGGCTAAAATTCTTTTAATCATGGTGGGCCTGATTCAAGCAAGATATTTAAGCTTTATTTAATATTTAATATTTATTTCATAACTTTAATCACATAATTATTCCCCCTGAAGTTGATAACATTTCTTATGTGCTTAAGTATCTTGCTGGATTAGGGCCCATATCATGATCTGAACAAGCCCTGAAGAATGATTCACATAATTTTACTATAAAATATCCCTGTAGCATAAACTTTGACATACACACATACCTTTTGTAGTGTTTGGGGGGCGTAGGGGGAGAGACAAATAAAACTTCACAATATTTTTTCCATCATGATGTTAAAATTATGGCTGTGGCCTGGGGGAATCACCTCCAGAATGTACCGGAATGTACAAATCTGCTTAAAAATATATACCCTCTATCACCTAGGTACTAGAAACAAATAGACACCATTGTCATAGGTTTGTGCTTCATTGCCATAGCAGAAGGAGCTCAGGTTAAACTAGCAAATTTTTATTTGCAGATCTGCGCTAGCAACATTAAAGATTTTGGTTCATAAACAAAAACACCAAATAGATTCATGCTGGCTTGTATCCCAAGGGAAACACAGACAGAAAAGGATAAAAGCATTAAGAAAACGAGAATAAATGTTTTTTAAACTTCCAATGTGTATTCACATATGTTAATCAGACATATGCTGCTATCAAAATCTATATAACAACTGCTTAATATAGTCTATTCATAGAGCTTTATTTGGTTCTTTTTAGCAGGCATCATCTCTTTTTCAGCTATTATGGCCCCACATCCCTCTATGTTTGGACTACACAAGTCAAACATCAATGGAGAGGTTATTCATTGTGCTTATTGGAAGGGAGCATTTGTGAATACTGGAGGCAAAGACTTTTCTCTGGTTATGCATAATGCAACCTTTGTATTTGTGACTGCTATGTAAGCATGTGAATGCATAGGTAACACTGTAGCATGAACACTGATGTAACCAAGGGCTGGCTCAGAATGCTGTCTAGAAAAGATCAAATAGAGGTGCCTTCAGCTCCCGGGGGAAATTTATCACATGCACTAGCCATTGTGCGGAGAGCACCTGCTTTCTCTGTTCACTTGGTGTGCTTTGTGCATCCCTGCATATATTGTCACTATTGAGTAACACTGTACTAATAACCAATTCATGTTTGAATATAACAACTGTGGAATAACTGATTAGCCAGTGCAGAGCTAAGCAGATGACTGCATATGCTGGCCCAAATTCTGCTCTCATTTATGTCGGTGTAAATCCAGAGTAACTCCATGGTAACTACTGGTAACAACATGTAACTACATGGTACTACTCTGGCTTTATACCTGCAGAAGTGTAAGTGGAATCTGATCCTCCCAATACAGGTGCCGTGCAGTGGTTTTAGTAGACTAGCCAAATTAAACCTTTACAACATAATATAAATGTTCAAAATATCTTTAAGAGACTTTGCTGAAACATTTGCTTTTATTAATATTTGTTTTAGCAAACCGCTGGTGACACCCTGGCCCAGTTGAAGTCAGTGGCCAAACTCTCATTGACTCCAGAAGGATCAGGATGTCACCTTATGTCTTTCTGAAACAGGATGGCTGCTGAGTTACTGCAGTGAGTGAATCCTGCTTGTGAATATAAGGTGAGGGAATCTGTGTTATGTCAAGCCAAGTGTGTCAGCTCAGAGAATGTGAAATAACTACTGCTCCATAGAATAGCCATATCCCACATGCACCAGTGGGACCCAGACAACATCAGAGGTCATGTGATTCCACACCCTTCCAAGTGGAAATACGTCAGTTGACAAGATGGCTGGAAAACAAGAGAAAGTGCCACCTAGATTCTCAGTGGGAAAGAGAGTGTGGAGACTGCCATGTCAGAACAGGCAAGTGGGGAGGGAGCAATGCTGAGCCCATTCTCACTTCCTCATAGAGGATGGTAAGTGGCTTTCAGTAAGCCTTTCTTCTTCATCTATTATTAGCCTGATGGAAACCAGTAGCATGCTTCGCTGTATTGAAATCATTTGTTGCACTGTTCACAGACCATATTACATAGCTTTGTTGCTTTGTTTTCAGATGCTGAAGCCATTTCTAATCACTTCAAAACAATGTTGTGGTTGGTTTTTAATTTCATTCATTCTAAGATCACTTTGTATATCCTTACATTAAATGTTGGACTGTCATTTTTAGTATGGTATATGGTAATCATGAAGAAAAAGGGTATATCTGTACATGACATTCATGATCACATAAGCATTATTTGGTTTTCCCCATACTTCCGTAAATGAAGAGTCAGCCCCACTGCCCATCCAATAGGAGAGGGAAGAAAACCTCAAGGACCAGAAGAGAACAGCCTCTTCCTCAGCCTAATAACCTGTACAGTTACAGCAAAGTAAGTGTGATTATACAGTACTGGGGAAAAAATTATGGAAACACCCATTGAAGTATGGGCATGCCTTATTGGCTAGAGCTTCAAATACCACCTAATATTCCAACCATATTAAAAACAAACAAGCAAGCCTCCCAACAGCAAAGACTTCCCTGCTGAGAACATAAGAAAATGGAACATTACATAATCTAATCTGTTCTTCACAATGCCTTGATATGAGCATTAGTAAGAGATGCTCTATTTGGATCATGGAAAAAGTTCACACAGGATAAAAAAGGGTCCAAAGTATGAAATATACCATTGGTTGATAATGTTTGCAATTTTTCATCAAAATTTTAAATAATGAAAATAATGTCAACATTTTTGGCCTGGTTTGTGACCTGCTGTAGAGCTGGCTGTAAAATTTCAATAATTTTTTCATGAAAGTCAACAATAAAAATTAAACCAGATTTTCATGAAGTTTTTTTTGCAAATTACATCCTATTTTTCAACCAGCTCTGAAAATATGATATGTAGGATGAAGCTAACCCCCGTGCAGAGAACCAGCATGAGCCTACCTTACGCATCATTTAATCCGTCGAAACAGAACTCATGTGGGACTTAGGGGGCACATAAGCCTTCCCTATAGGGGTGAAATTCAACAACAGATATTACCTGAACAGACAAAGTTACTATGCCTAATAGAGAAACAGGTTCACAGACCTGATACCGAGCGTTTTTCATTTTATATGTTCAGTCCCGTCTTCCTTTCTCTCTCCCCCTCTCTTTCCTTCATGCTTTTGCTTTTGTTGGATATGGTTTGGTATGTACGTAACTTGAAGGTGTTTCCATATTTTTTCAGTTATGTATATGTATTTACTAACTACTAAAGAAGTGTTTGTTTAGTGTGTTAACACAATTTATGTCTTGTGTTATATGTTGAGTGTCCAGACTCTTGAAAGTCAGCAGAGAAGCATCTCATATTAAAATACAAGACTTTGTATCATTTACTGACAAAAGATATGGGGGAATAACTGTTTCTAATGGCTATAGCTAATGAGTGATGAGGGCTGTATCTAGCAGTAACTGCTTAATATTATTAGTCGGGATGTCAAAAATATTTCCTTCTGACCTTATTCCACACATGCTTATTACTCCCTCTATCAAAACAAAATTAACCTGCTTAGTTTAACAAAGGAAAAGAATTGTTGCATTCATTGTACTTATTTTTCTTGATTTAAAAATCTTTTTGTTGTTGTAATTAATGCCATACACACCCTTACCTGCCTTTCTTATCCATCTATCTCATTTGTTTGTCTATCACTCTGGAATATAGGGCCCTGATCCTTAGTTGATGTGGGTGTAAGCAGCCGCTTAGGACTCAATGGAGCTATGCCCATTTATGATGGCTGAAGTTCTGCCCCAAGTGCTTATATTCAGTCATCTCCCTGTCAAGAAATTCATGGTTTCTAAGTGCCCTGGTAATATTCTCATAATTCTTTCCTGACCTTGTAGCTTTGCCTTCTGACTCATGACTGTAAGTATTATCTGCTGCAGTAGAAGCTTCTAGGAGAACATTCCCTATTTTACTTTAAAATTCTATTCTGCTTAGATTCTTATACCATGCCCATCACTCAGCTATCTGAGCACTTCCTTGAGTTAAGAATAAACAGTTAGCATTTTGCTTCCCTTCCTTCCTTTCTCTTTCAATAGCCTATATTTTAAAAAAAACATATATGTGATATGTAGCTTTGTAAGAAAGCAAGGTCAAACTATGAGTTTTGCATTTGTACTGGAAAGTATTGATGTTTGTGTCATCGTTAGTTCCTGTGGGAGTGAATTCCACAGTTTTAAACCCACCTTTTAGAAAGGCCTGTCTCCAGCTCATTAGAGTTTGTCCTGATGGAAACAGCTTTGTTATGAGGAATGGATTGCCAAGAGTGGTCAAAGTCCAGGAGAGTGAATGAAGCTTTTAGGCATCTTGAGCCCCTTGACCATTTAGAACCTTTAAAATAAGGAATGAGACACTCTGATGTGATGTTCTATCTAAAGGGAGGCAGTGGAGTGCAGAGGAAATGTGCTCGTAGTATGCCATGATTCTGAGGAGGTGTATTCTGCACCAGTTAGAGTTTTTTCAGGGCTGATGCTTTCATGTCTAAAAACTTGCATTGCAATAATCCAAGGAAGCATGCATGGTCAAAGCTAGGTGTCAACAGTAAGGTTGAGATGCAGTTTCCTAACCACTTGGAGGGGGTAGTATGGATTTCTCACAGAAGCAGGCATGTCCAATATTAGCTATGGCAGTGAGAAGTTGAAAAAAAATTGGTCTGTGTTGATGCCTTGTGGGCACACATCTTTGACTGGCTGATGCATCACTCTGTTAGCAAGCTGGTTGAAGTGCTTCTTCTACTCGTCAGTATTACTTTCATCTCACTAGGATTTAATTTCTGCCTGCTCTTCCTACTCCATGTGCTACTCTAGCTAAACACTGAGATGGCTGGGTGACAGTGGTGTTATCATGGGGTGTGAACAGCAGAGTTATGTCATTGCCATATTGTTGACATGTAGGCGCAAAGGAAGCCTCAGAATTTCTCCTATTGGCTGCATGTGAATACTGAATAAGGCAGGAGTTCTACAGAATAGAATGGTGCTCCACAGGTGAAGGGGGTTTGGTGGCAGAGGTACAGTTGCTCATTACTGACCTTTGGATGCAGCATTGAGGAAAGATTCAAACCATTTCCCAATGCTACCCTAGAACACTGCGACCTTTCACAGGTAGGATATCAGTATTCTCTGCAGAGAGGTCCAAGAGTATAAATATCCATCCTATATTATTAATAGCAAGATATCCATCAGTCCTACCACTGCTATTTCTATTCAGTAACCCAACCTGCAATCTACGTGGGCAAGATCTAGGATATTAGGTGCAGAGGCCAGGAATTCCCATATACCAGAGGAAGATGTAAAGGAGCTATGGCTGCTATTCCTGTCCATAAGCTGGTGTAGCAGCTGCTGAGTACTATACAGGCACCATTTAAGTCAATGATAAAACTCCCATTGACTTCAGTGAAGCCAGGATTTCTCCCTTCGTCACTAGGCAGGTCTTCATTATGAGTCTGAATACATTTGTTAAGGGTATTGGGCCTGTGGCTTCTCCCTTGCTTGGGAGGTGGAGCCAATCCTCCTCACACCCCACACAGCATGGCCACATAAAGTCTAATTATTTAGGGCTCTCCTGAATTACAACTGTCTGATGTGTTTGAGGTGTAAAAATCCCTTCCATAATGCTGTTTTGGGGAACCAAATCTCTCCCTCTCTTACTTTCTCCCCAATTCCATCTCTTTGATGTAATCACCTCCGTAGCTCATGACTAAGTTACAGACACCAAATAAAACAACAATACAATTTCTGTTCAAAATGAGGCACCCTGAAAGTTGCCTCCTGTATCAGCAAAGAGTTTTCCCGCATGTGATTTCTGCATTAACATGGATTTTTAAATTTCATTCTTCATCATGGCCCTGATCCGAAGTCCACTAGAATCAATGGAAAGCCTCCCATTGACTTTAAGAGCATTGGATCAGGCCCAATATCCTTAACAAATGCATTCAGATTCATAAGGAAGAACCTGTGTAGTGACAAAGGGAGAAATCCTGGCTTCATTGAAGTCAATGGGAGTTTTGCCATTGACTTAAATGGAGCCTGGATGTCACCCAAAGCTTTGCAGGGCTTATTAACCAAACTTTTTGACAGTTTGCTGCAGTTCTTTATGAAGATTAATGAATTATCATCTCCTCTGCATTCCATATCAGTGAGACAGAATTTTTCCACATTGCGAGTTTCTGTCAGGAAAAGAAAGAAAGGAAGACGTTTGTAAGAAAGGTATAAAACCTCTCCTCATCAAACTTCTCCCATGAATGATAGTTTTCCTTTTAATGTAACTCCATAGTTTTATAATTTATTTCGACAAAACAATATCATTAGAGTTTAAAATTGGGAAGTATGGTTTCTCTGAGCTGAAAAAAAATATATTATTATTTCCCTATTATAGCATTTTGCAAACATTAATGAAGTTAGTCTCAACAGCTTTGGGAGGTAAATACCAATACATTTTTACAAATGAGAAAACTGAGGCACTAAGGTTAGTTGATTTTCCAAGATCATCCAGAAATCTGATAACACAGCTAAAATGGAACCCACATCTCTTGGCTCACAGGCCTTTCTTTTTAACCACTAGACTGATTTCTTTTTCAAAACTTTCATGATAGTTTGCCCCCTTCAGAAATGGTATTTGGAGTTGAAGGTCCCAAGCTGAGATCCTCATTCTCCCATTTTCAAAAACCTTCATATGTGGCTTTTTTAATTTGCTATTTCAGGGCATTCTAAAAGGCATATGGTCATATAAGGAGCTGAACGTACTCCTGTATAAATTAATGGCAAAATTCCCATTGACTTCCATGGGTGCAGGATCAGGCCCTCAAAATGGACTGGCCTTTTTAAAATGTAATGTTTACACCTAAGGCCACATTTTCCAATTTTGCTCTGACAATGTTGTTCAGACAATCATTTGGGCACATGATTTCTCCCATACATTTTACTATTCACATACTTAAGCATCATGCTTAAATGTTGTGTGCATGCAAATTACCATGAATGGAGGCCCTCATAGAAATGATTATGTGCACAAAATTAGAGGCCTTATTTTGACAACTAGGCCCTAAATCAAGCTAAACCAGAATGCCATACCTCTCCATTTTTCTTCTTTCCCACCCAGTTGTTTCAGATCTCTGTGACTTATTTTTAATATAAACAATGTTTTTATATATAATATATATGTTCAGATGTGTATACACACACACACACACGTCTAATATTATCATATGATTATTTTATTATTGGTCATATGGTTTTGGTTGCGTAATGCAAGTTGTGCAATGTGTTTCTTTACAAAAGCCTTAAATGTGTTGCAAATATATGTTGGTCAAGGGATGACACAACTTGTGGTAAATGATCTTGCTTAAATAAAGGATACCGGTATGATTTAGATTTGTTTTAGAAAAGCTTACAGGCAGGTTTCTTTTGTCAAATAATGATGTAAGGCTGATTACAGAGGACACCAACTTTTCTTTCTTGGCTTTCATACACATCATTTATCCTGGAGGAGAAACCTTTGCATGCTAAACATCAAAGAAGCTGAGTATCTCCTCTCAGTGAGTTAAGGGCATTCAGATATCTCATAGATTGGACATGAAGTAAATTGCTCTTTACGAACTATTCATCTAGCTCTAACCAATACAAAAGAATGTTGCATTCTCTGTACTTGAGTTTATTTTAGCTCAGTGATACAGGGAATTCCAGAGCTGTTTTGTGGCTGCTAATATGCAGACAAATTCTGGAATACCATTTCCATCTTTAGGGATTTGCAATTGGTGTTTTACTTTTTAGGATGTAAAGATTCAGCTTCAGTTCCTTCAAAGCATGTGAAAGTCTTAATCCATTAGAAAATATCGAACTAGGCAAACTCTAATAGAGCACAATGGGGCGAGTGTGTGGATGAAAACATGAATTAAATTTATTCTTGATAGTAATGGTATGTGCTGATGATGGCTTTCCAGTGCATTACAGCTGATGAGTATAGTATAAGGCATACATTTCATATTAGAACTTGCACTGTTCCCTTACTGGGTGGGTAAAAAAAAAGGGTATTTCCGCATGCCTGTAAGTGAAATCCACTCTCAAGTGTCTGTTCGGTCAAACTCTGCCCAGATGCTGGTATGCAGTCATATATTTTGGATATTCTGTTTGACGAATTGTGTGCAGACTATGCGCCTGGCCTGCCACATTGAGGGATCCAACAAAAAAGAAGACACAACTGTGTATGTAATAAAATATTGCACTTGGACAGAGTGGCAAGGAAAACTCTTAGTCACACGGGTTCGGATCCAAAGTCCATTGAAGCCAATGGGAATCTCTCCACTGACTTCAACAAGCTTTAGATCAGGCCCAAAGCGCTCATAACAAGTCTAATAACTTTGTTGACTCACCATGACATCTGCCATATGGAGTCTGTCGTAAATGACACAACACGCCTAAAGTGAGAGCCAAACCCTCAAATAGAAATTGCAAAGGAGATCAGGCTCCTAGTTGACTTTTAACTTCATTCAGTTCAGGAAAGGTATGCTGTACATATGTTACCTGCATTATTCTAGGTTAGCAAGAATGTTCCATACCACATCTCATATCTAATCTGGTTTAGGATTACACTGTCATCAGCTCTTCCAAAAACAGTACTGCACAAAATCCTATCCTAAACGGAAGTCAAGGTGAAGAATTTGTTGTGTCAGTTTAAAGGAACATGGTTTTGTCTGAAAACCAGCATTGCAAGTAACAATACTCTTATTGAAAGTCATTTGTAAGCAAAATATATGGGTTTCTGTTTTTTTCAATTTGTCTATTTTGTGCGACTGAGATCACTGTGTGCATAATTAATATTTCTGCTAGGTCTGCCTGCTTGGTTACTCATTTTCTCCTGTTTTGTGAACTCAGGGGCAGGTGCAGTGCCAATTTTTTTTATTCTTTCTCTCTCCCTCTCTCTTTTTTACTGAGTAGATTTCAAATTAACAATTGCCCATTGATATCAATGGAAGGTTCTCCATTGACTTCAACAATGACCAGGGCCTTTGTGCTTTTCTAAACTGTTGTTTGCCATACCTGGAGGTGAAAGAATGCCCATAGATTATGTTTACCTGTATAAAGTTAATTGTAAACAAACATTTCTTGTGAAACTTAAAACGTATTCTCCATATTAGTTTACAGTATATACATTTTCACTACAAGTTCAGAAGAGCCATGAAAACTGTGCCTCCAAATTTAGCCTCACAGTTATACAAGGGCAACTGTGCGGTTAAAGGCATAGGCAAAATACACATCTTGACACACAAACCAGCACTTTTATATGCACATCAAGTTTGCTAAAAGCAGAGTTACCTGATCTGTGCACACAAGCAGATGTACAGCAAGGATATGCTCAAAATCCATTGATCCATTTACTGACACATTCGAAAGTTAGCTGTTTAGGCCCCAATCCAGTGATGCACTTCATACGATATTTATGAGTCGCCCCACTGAACTGATAAGAAGCTATTTCCCCTGACTTCAGCAGGATGACCCATATGCTTTTAACTAAGCAAATGCTTAACTGCTTTGCTGGATCAGGACCATAGTTTGCAATAGAGTGAATGAATGAAGATGTTCAGATTTAAAACAACTTTCTGCTTTTTTGTTAATGAAACACTTCAAAGAACAGCATAGGTTAAACCATCTGACTGGAATAGGATTCATTAAATCATACAAAAAATCCCAAACGTATTTAGCTTTATATTTATATTAACACCACAGTTCTAATGTGACAAATTGGATTTGGCAGGCATCATAAAACATGGTTTTGAGTGGATAGAATTTTTACCTTCAACACTGCAGGATATTGGTAAGATCCATGTGCCTTTTAAAGATCTATATTATTTAAAATCCAGAAATAAACAGCCGTCATTTGGCAAAAACAGTTACCTTATTAGCTTGCATTAGGCTTGCAATGTTAACAAGGATTATTTTTATTTTCCCTTTATGTCTTTGTCTAGTATATATAAGTAGATTTTTGTGTTTATTCCTTTTAGTGCATAAGGATTTTGTGTTCATAAAATCATGGATAATGCTTCACAAACATCATGGTAACCACAAGGAGCCAACACTCTAAATATAATCTATGGCTAAGCAGTTATTTGTATGCATTATTTTTTGATAGGTGACATGTATGCAGTGGTTGCATGGGGACCATACAATGCTGGAAATGATTGAGAAAAAGCGTTGTTTGTGCAAAGAAATAAAGGCTCGACAGAAATCAGAGAAAGGACTTTGCAAACAGGACAGCATGCCCATTTTGCCGAGTTGGAAGAAGAACACTGGGACCAAGAAATACAGCCCTCCTCCTTATTCCAAACAACAAACTGTTTTCTGGGACACAGCGATATGACCAGACTGTTGCTGATGCCATCACCACAATGTTGTAAGATGCACAAGTAGCCTCCTTTCTTAATAAGGCAATGCCTGTGACATAAAACTTAATCTGCAGGTGACGAACTACCTAGTGAAAAACATACCAATGTGGTGCTCACCTGTCAATTTAAAGGAAAAGTATAGATTTCCAGCTGATTAAGGCATGCATATTTATTAAGGATTTTTTTGGATCCAGAAGATATTGAAATGTAAATATTTTGCCAATCTATTGAAAACACCTGAACTAATACACTGTTTAAAATATATAATTCAAAAATTTATGAAGAATTTTACTATATAATATAATTACTGTTATATTGTTTTATTAACTATTTTATATGTGGTATCCTAATGCTCTTTTTTGTTGTTGTCATTTTTAATGATCTTACCTGCCTAAATTTGGCCTCTGTACAAAAGCATGTGGTTGTACTTTTGTTTAACAAGTACAATGTACAAATCAACCTGGTGCTAGGGCTGTAGAAGTTCACTAGAGTCATATTCATTAGAGACATCCGTTGCTTTTGTTCTTCTGGGAAAGGTTTTGGCAGGAAGTAGTAAAAACTGTAAACAATGCAAATAAAAATGCTTAATTTGGATGTCCAAATTGCATTAAAAAAGAGTTGTTCTGCATCAGATTTTTGGTAAATTTACTATTATAAATTGCCCTTCTTTTTATGTCAATCTGTTATTAAAGTCTCCAGTGATAGTTCCTAGGCTACATTTGGCTAACCAAGTAAACAAAATTTACTGCAGAAAGGTCTAAAGGCTCTTCCTTCTTTTATTCTGCTGACTAGAGGAGACCATGGTTCACTGTGACTAAGAACTGTACATCACATGATAATGAGTTAACCCATTGTTTAGCAGGTTAAAACAGTGGCAATGCACCCATGATTCCTGTCCACATTTGTCTTTGGTCCAGAAAGTAAAGGTAACAAAATCTGTTTACATTATTTTTAAGTACCCCAAACATCCCTAGTTGGGTCTGTATCAAATTGGAAAGCATTATTTAAAAAGGCCTGACCCAAACTCCATTGACATCAATGGAAAGACTCCCATTGGCTTCACTTGGCTTTGGATCAGACCCACAGAGCACCTTTCTCTCACGTAACCATTTCCTGTTCCTGGCTGATCAGATAATTGGGTCATAGTCCTCTGTGACATCACACCCATCCTGAGAGAATGCTATGTCATGACCAAAGAATTATGACCTCTTGGTTTTAACAGGAGAAAGAGATGGCTTATATTGCATATGAGGGTGAGAGCTGTGCATTAAAATATCTTCCAAAAGAAACGCTTTAGGGTGAACAATATCCGTATTGCCATGGAGTGATAAAATGATGCTATCACATATATTTTGTATATTTAAAGTTCTATCGATGCTTCTGAAATTTGGCAGCATGAAAATTCCTCTTTAATAGTCCTTTAAAATTATATTCTCTGAGAAGAAAAAATGTGTTGTTTGAACTTATTGTCATATTGGCTTTTCTTTGAAACTATATTGCAGCAATGCCCTGGGCATCACTGCTGATCAAAAAAACCAAAAATGACCAATTTTAGTAGGGTTTTTTTGTAATCTATATTACTAAAGTTTGAGTAACGCTTTATCAGTAGTAGTTTCTTTCCAGTCTCTGAAATAATAATAAAGTTTTTAAATATTTTATAACTAATTAACTAATGTATATTTTGATGTCCAAATTGAGGATTTCTGTATAAGATAAACAAAAGTGTGTGTTCATATGTGTGTATGTATATTAGCATTATGCTATAATGTGTGTGTATATGTATAGGTGCATATATGCACACATACACACTCTCATCTATATACATACTGTATATATGAAATGTGTGTGTGTTGTTGGATATACAGAGGCTGAAATGGGTACAAAATTTAGATGAAAATTTAAAGAAGCCCCCACAATCCAAAAGACAGAAAACATAAAAACCACAAATTGTGAAGGAATCTTTAAATAAATCTTGTACCCAAAAGGCACCAATTGTATATTCTGCCTACTCATTTTTTTCATAAAAGAAAGAAAATGGCAGAAGAAAAACTCAAGAGATCTTGCAATGCTCCAAAATCTGCTGGAAAGAGAATGACTTGCTAGTCATGCGGAATATGTTGAGATAACAGGTTCATTACTCAGAAAATGTTTAGAATGGTGAAATGCATTATCTTCCTTGTTATGGGTGATTATATGCCAAGAAAAGACTTTCATATAATCAATGTGAGATTTTTTTTCACTTGGTCCCTTTCACAAACTGCACCAAATCTTTCTGTGTGTATGTGTTCAGTCATGATACTTCTTGTACACATTTCCTTAAGCAATTAGTCATTTTAAAAACTTTAATATTCCCTTTGGAAGTATTCCCCAAGAGCAGTTGTTCATCACTGACATTCATGCCTCCAATGGGAACATCTTGAAAAACCTTCAAAAGAGGCAACAATACAAACCTTTGGGAGAGAATAAACAATTTTATATACAATCGTTCAAGTTTTTGTACAGTATCCTTTTCATATTGACATATTATAGGAATAATTATCATGGTACTGAAGCATTCTGGTCATAAATAGATTTGCTTGACCATTTAAACTACCACAAAAACCACTTAGTGCTTTGCTTATATAGTTCAGCACCATAGTCATCATCCGTTAATTAGCCCAAATGCTTGCAGACCACCATTGTATCCCATGCAAACAATAGCTTATATTTATTATTGTTTGACGCCACATGAAAAATTAAAATAGAACTTAGCACTTATCTTCAAAGCACTTTACAAACGTGAATTAAACCACACACCTATGTGAGGAAGGATACATTTTATTTTATAGAAAGTGAGATTGAGGCAGAGATGCTGAGTGACTTGCCAAAGCCAATCAAAGCCAGAGCTAGGATAAGGTCCCTGTCTTATGCTCTGACCATTTGACAACATTATCATTAGGCAGAGTGCACAGCCTGAGAATAAAAGGTGAATATTCACTGCAGAGAACGTACCATCAAAATGGTGTCTAAACATTTTCTACATTCCCTATTGTCTCAGCAGTTTCTATATCACAGGGTGAATGATCGTATTTAGCAACATGTGCTCATTAAAGCTGCAGTTATATAAATATGCAATCTGAATATACATACAGGCCACATATCTACACACACTTATGGAGACTGTATATATGAAATTGTTTGGTATGCACTTACTTTGCTTTAAATTCCTAAAGTTAAACATTATAGTGTAGCAATTTGTGAAAAGTGCACTGTGATTTCAAGAAAGCACAGTAAAGTCACAGGTCTCGTTATTCTTGCACTAAAAATGTGTTTACGTATATTAGCAAATGTATGCTTACTTTTATTGCTCTTTTTAACAAATTAAATTAAATTAATGGTATAAAATGGTATTTTTCTTTTAGTGGACTATGGCATTATGTTTTTAAATTACAGGGTTTTTAAAGAAGAAGAAACCATTCTGTGTTCATTCCAATGTAATATGTTTACCGATATCTTAAAACTGAATGTCATATTGCTTTTTTTTTTCATATTTTGTTAGAAATGTCAGGTATGTGCCTGAAATTGTGTAGGAGTAAGGAGTAGCTAGAGGATAACTGTAATCATATATTATTAGCCATTTCTATATACACAGTATAAATACATAATAATTTTCTTTTCATTTTTGTACTTGATTTTTTTAAGTAAGATGTAATTAACTGTACTTTGATACTTCTGAAGTAATAAGATGTTGTTTGGAGATTCTGCTTTCTTTAGTGCATTGACAATATTTTACAATAATTTAGTGCTTATTTATTTGTGCTCCAGTGGAATTATAATAAAAGCAATAGTTTAAAATATCCTGCCTTTTATTTCTGTTTGTTTGGTATATAATTTAAAACTGCTTGTTTATTAGGATTTGCATTCAACACTCTCTTGAGGAAAAGTGAAATCATGGGCTTTTATATTTATTCTGATGAAATTTTTTAGTAGGGAGCAATTAATTGATCATTTTAATACTCTCTGGTTAGGCCTGGTTACGTGAATGCCATTAGTTTCATTCTCAACTTGAGGGATCACTAGAGCAATATTCTTCCGAGCCAAGGGCCAGAACTTGCCCAATGAATCTGCAAGCGGAAAAATTCCTCATCTCCTGTTCTCCCCCTTTCTGAGTGGAAGGAGGAGTGTCACCTTGATGGCACTACAATGGTCTGCAGAATCCACAAGTGAGGCAGGGCAAATATGCATCATGTTCCGATCAACAGTGTAAGGAATCTGCTTAAAAGTCAATGCAGCCCCAAGTGATCCCAGCCTGTTGTCAACTTCAGGATCTATTGAATGTGAAACAGAGCCTCTGCAGGGGAATTCCATGGTGACTGTAGTGGGCAGGCGGGCCATGCCATGAAGATGTTGGGGATGGCCAGTCCTCTGTGCTCCAAAGCTGGTACAGAACTACATGGCCTCTGTATGAATGACCCTGGTCTTCCAGTATTGCCAATTCTTGCAATATTTTGTTAAAGCTCCAGATCCTGCAGTTCTGTGATTGACAGTATCTCCCATTTCAGTTAAAAAAAAAAAGAGTTCTAGACCTCATGGTTGCAAAGAAAAGCTTGAAAATATGAACCGAAAGGCTTTCAAACCAGAAAACAAATAAAAAGAATTCAACTTTGATTTTAAAAACTCTTTTAATTTTTAAGCCACTCTCATGATATCTGGAGAGCCTGACTCGTGATTTTTAAATGTTTGGGTTTGGCTATAATGAGATATGGGGTTCTGCAGGATTTGGGAACTGCTCATTTCATGAGGGGGTAGGCCCTATCCTTTCTGCTCCCATCCCCAACCAAAGATCTGGTGAAGCCACTATAAGGGTATGGCTTGATATTAAAATAGTTGCTGTCAAAGACATATTACAAGGAACAAGAACTAGCACTTCTTTGTTGGCCCATCGCTCCCTCCAGATTTTAAACTGGCAAAAGGAGTGTCCTTGGTAAAGTAGTGGTTCATTTTAAACAAAAAATCATTCTAATCAAGATTCTAAAAGTTTATGGTAATAATGAGTGATACACTTAGTATGCCGGAGGAAAGTATCCGTGTTTGTCATTTCAGCTTTGCTTTATGCAAAGTGCCTGATCCAACAAAAGTGTTTCCATTGATTTCTACAGGAACTGGAGCACACCCCGGAGGCAGAAGATCTAAAGAAGCAATTTTTGCTTCGAGAGCCATATGCAGGACCCCAGGATAAGCCATTTCTCTGCTTTCAGGTTGCAGTTGGGCAACAGAGCTACTAAGTGGCCATAACTGCTATACTGAAGTTTCGTTAGCTCCCTCTACCCCAGCTCTCGGGGGTGGACTCAATGACTTGGGCCCATATAGTGGAGTATCTCCACTCTCTCCCACCTCAAAGTAACCCCCATGCCCTCTGTACATTGCTTTTGTGTTTTAAAAATGATCTCTATAACCTTGGGTAGAGAACTGGTCACCTCTCTCTTGCAAATCAGTCTGGGTTACTTTAGCCTGTCACCAAAGTGGCCACATAGTCAGACATACATAGTCTGTCTTGCTTAATAATAAGTAACCTGCCCCCAGCAAGGCAAAAAATTGAATAGCTAATAGAGCGGTGATGGGCCAACATTACTCAGTACTACAGTGATAGCTGACAGAGTGTCGGCAATGAAACAGCATGAAGCTAAATAAAATTTACAAAAACTAGAGAACTGAAAAGAAACACTGCTCAAAGGCATGAATGAAAACATCTGGCAATTACTTTTTAAACCTAAAAACATCTCTTTTATGGGCTAGCTTTCCCTTTAAAACAAAATTACACACCTGTCACCTTTAAATTGAGATTTTTCTCTCTGTGACAACTGATTCTTCTCTTCATTTGTGGAGCATTTTTTTTTCATTTCCTTCTCTCCCTTTCTCTCTTTACTTTTCTGTCCAATTCTTTTCTTTTTTCGGATGTGCTTTGGGATCAAATTTGCTCTGTATATTTCATATATTACAATTGTTATTCACCCCCTTACTTTCTCTCTGCCCTATCCCCTTCCTCTCCCATTTATTTTTCCTTTTTTCCCTTCACCACTTCCTCTCCTGCTTCTAGGCTATCTTTCCACGTGAAGATGTGCACAGAAATCAGGAATAATGGTGGACTATCAACAGGTTTGTTTTTCTATGATAATATTTAGTGACACTATACTTAGCATTTATAAAGTATGTTTCTTGCACAGACTCTGAAGTACTTTACAACGTAAGTTAACTATAATTATATCCATTTATAGATGGGAAAATTCAGGTATAGTTTAATGGACTTGCCTCAGGCCACAGTAAATCAATGGCAGAGCTGGGAGCAGTGCCCAAATTTCTTGACTCCCAGTCCAATTACCCTAAATCGGGATCCTTCTCAGAATCTCAGAACTGATCTGCAAATTGCATTGGGATAGTATGTCTCTCTTGAGACTTCCATGAATTCATTCTCACTCCTGGGATGCAGATATTTCTCTTTCCAGTCCTAGCCTGAACCAGATAGTGCAGAGACATATAATAATGTTAAAAGGGTTTCAAAAGGTCTGATATTTTTACAAAAATTCTGAGAAGTTTTGTTTGGATGAACATTCTATTTTTTCTAAACAATTCCCCTATCTCCAGTTAAGAGTCAGGGCTCTGCATTTCCATGCTCTGTACACTCCCTGCTGCTATCCTTGCATGCTGCCATGTGAAAGTACATGGAGAAGACACAGGAACAGTGAACTCAGCTCTACACTGATTTCACAATACATCTTTATGGGAGGTGGCAGGGGGCAGCATATGTGCAGCAAAATCAAGGTAAGAAAACTTTTCCCACACTTCTCTGACCCTGGATTTAGAATCAACAACATGGGGATTCATGTTTGGGTTAGCTTGGTTGGCCCTTTGATAGAATGACTGAAATCCTGCAATGATATTTGACTAAGTTTTACACCAATAAAAATGATACAAAAATTAATAATGATTATAATGTGTCTACTAAAAAAGACAGAGTGTAGCCATGGCAACGCAAGAGGAGGGAGGAGCCACCCTATGTACCTAGAATCTTGGATGGTTACGTATGCAGGGCAGCTAGCCCTTCCCACCACTCGCACCACCATGGCTACAATGTCTTTTTAGTGTGCGAGCTCATTCAGAGATAACTTGGCTATCTCCCTGAGTTGCAAAAATTACACCTCCAGATAGAAGAATCGCTATACCCTAAGTTGAAGACAATGAAACTTCTTACATTCTTATAGTTAACCATGTGGGTTAGTCTTTACAAGACTAGGACTTTCCTTTCTTTGTGTCTCAGTTCCCCAGCTATAAAATTGAACAATACTATCTCATTTCTGCTACTCCTTATGTGTATTGTCTGTTTAGATTGCAACCTCTTTTCATACCTCATACTATGTATCTGTAATTGCCTAGTGCCAGGAGGCCCTGGTCTTGGATGGAATTTGAAGGCTCTATAATACAAATAATTGATAACAACAATGAAAGGATTGGGTAATGAGAATCTTCCCTATTTTCCTTTATGTTGGAGCTGACTCAGCCTTTTGGTTTAGTTAAGTTTTTTTTAAATTTTATTTTATTTTAATTCTCCTTTCCCCAAATATGTTTTTAAACCCTGTGACAAATGAATCAATACATTCAAAGGGAAGAGATAAATTAATCATTTATCCACAGGGTTAAATCTTTGTTGACTAGATTTTTCCTGGGAGATCCTCACAGATGGGCCAACTGTTTTATGGCAGAAACCTTCTCTTGTGTCAGGAAGTGGGAGAGGGAGGAGCAAGGTCCACACCTTGTGATAGAGATGTGACACACAGGAGTCCTTACAAAGAGACTGAACTCTGTTTCCTGAGCCTAGCCAACTGACCTGCCTCAGGTTAATATAACACCTGTCATGATACAGCTCAGTATCCACTCACTCCACTGGCTACTGCTGCATGCTGGGCCTTTTCTTTATTTTAAAGGCATTAGTGGAATATGTGAAGTGCCCTTTTCTTTGGGAGGAATAGTGGTGAAGGACTGAAAATAAGTGTTTTTTGTTAAGTTTCATCTAATGAATCAGGTGGCCTGGAAGATAAATGGTAAATTTTAGGGACTAATAAAAGGAAGCCACTGAAGTAAATATTTCTTAAGCAATGGTGCAGTAAATGCGTGTAGTTATTTGTTTTTAAACCAACTTTAAAATCCTAAGGGGTATTTCTCTTCACCTAGCAGCATGTTGTGCATCATTTAGGAACTACTGTGGAACTATTAGGCATTGGTGTAGCTTTCTAGATATATTGCCTGTGTCTCGCTGGGACTCTTGATTCACTCTTCTCTCACAGCTCGAGTTTAGATGTAAAGTTCTTTTATTTACCAAGTCTCTAAATAACAGCTTGTTTCCCAAGTTTGGCCAGTAAGGGGACACAAAGGTAGGTTTGCCTGACTGCTCTTGGCTTGGAGGTTTGGAAGAACAGCCCATTTACTCCTAATTTATAATACCGTGGTCTTGGCCTTGTAGCCAGGTCTTTGGGGAGGGGGGGAGGGGAGAAATGTCACCAAAACTTAAACTGTTGAACATTAAATTTCCATTTGTTCAGAAATAGTTCTAAGCAAGAGATTGTGTTCAACACAAACTTTACTGTGACTCGTTGAAGTAGCCTCTATAAAGGTGCATGTGGGAGCTGATAGACAATGAGGCAAACTTTCAATTAATGCAAGGTTGGATATCTAGGCCTTGAATGTGGTGGATCACACAGTTTACCATGATATCACTTTTAGAGCATGGCACAACTGAATTATGAGTCAGTAGACAGCAGCAAGGCACAGCTGTAAAGTATGTGTGCCATCAAAGGGTTAATCT